GGAGCTCGAAATTTGAACATCTTTGTGCTGATCTAGAAATATTGGAGAAAAACAAATGTGAACTTAGTTCACAGCACAAGTGGTCTGCTTTGAAAGACCTGGAGAAGGAAGATATGTTGATTTTTAACACTTGGAATAGTATTCCTGACTCATATAATCAACTGAAAAAACTAGTGTTTGCTGTTCTTTCCTTATTCGAGTCTACATATTTATGCGAACAGACATTTTCAAGCATGAACCTTATCAAGAGTAAACTGAGAAATCATCTTATTGATGAGAACCTGGAATCGTGCCTAAAATTAAAAACAACAACATACAAACCTGACTTACACAAACTTTCCAAGGAGATGCAAGGCCATTGTTCACATTAGTGTTTGTCAGTCATTGTCATGATTTAATTTTATGGATACTTTAGACATATAGAGGTGCTTGGGGGGGTCAACAGTGGGAGGGCTTCTAATGTCCTGGCCCCACTGGTGGACCTCCTGATGGCACCTGGTATTTCTGGCCACTTTGTGACACAGAGTGTTGGACTGGATGGGCCTTTGGCCTGATCCAACATTGGCATCTCTTATGTTCTTATGTTCTTAAGTATACAAGACGAGTGTGGATGGGAGAGTTGGAAGGGGTCGACCTCAGCGAACGTACCTCAATCAGATTGAGGACATTTTTAGCAAAGGCCAGTTTAGGAGTACCCTAATTAAGTTAATAACAATGTACCTACCTATATAGTTTAAGTTTTAAAAATGTGGCTCTCAAAATAAATTTCAATCATTGTACTGTTGATATTTGGCTCTCTTGACTAATGAGTTTGCCCACCACTCCTCTAGGCTGATCCTGCATTGAGCAGGGGGTTGGACTAGATGGCCTGTATGGCCCCTCCCTACTCTCTGATTCTGTAAGTGTGGCCTCCCTGCCTTTTTAATTTCACAAGTGCTCTTCCTTTTCTTTTTCTATCCTTCTTATCAATTGAAACAGTTTTCTTTTTTCTGTTGACCTGAATGTAGACAGGTAAAGGGTCTGAAGAAAACCCTTGATGAGAAGCACTACATCTGCAACTCTTATGCATATCCTATCTATTTCTGTGGGCTTTGTAATCCACTTGAATCTCATCTTGAGAAAAGTGAGCTATAAATGAAATAAATAAAATCCTGTGGCACACCTACACCCACAATAAAGTCTAGTCTGAGAAAGCCAGCTATACAGCCATTTATTCAATGTACCAATTTCCTGTTTCAGAGCCATCTGAGAAAATAAAATAAAATAAATAAAAGCTTTCAGCAGGGAAGCTATGATAAGATTCCTTTCTTTTCACTCTCACACTAGAATTGCAGGAAATACCAAGATGCTTCTTCAGCTTGTGTCATGGGTTTGGAATTAAAAGGCATATCTAGCTAACCAGATAAACACTTGCATTTGTTTGTTTATTAAAACATTTATATCCCACCTTTCCTCTTGGTTCACAATGGCTTACAGTAATCATTGACATATCCCAAGCTAAATTAAAGATAAAAGAGTGAGTCCCAAATCCCTTCTCCCCCTTAAAAGATGCCTACCATTCAACCCCCTCAACCATAGGCCTAGTGGAACACTGTCCCTACTGAGATCTGGACCCTGTGGGATTTAATGCAGTTCTGCAGGGCCTGCAAAACAGAGATGTTTTGCCATGCCTATGATTGAGGCGGCATTACAGTGGCCTGCCCTGTTCAGCTTTAGCTGCTTTGCTTGAATCCATCATAGCTGTTTCCTCACCCGCTCACTTATCTTGTCTTGTTCCATCTACGGCTACACATAGCTGGAGTCTTTTTTTTACTCATTGAATTATGTCGTTGACGCCACTTAATGGTTCCTGTATCAGTATTGTTAATAATTGATAGATTTTAAGGACTGTGCTATTAATATCTTTTGTATATTTTAAGAATGTTGTAACTCACCCTTAGCCTGCTGTGCAGGCAGGGAGGACTAGAAATTAAATAAACAAAAGCCCTGTCAGACAGGCAGGACTTGCAGCACCTCCTGCCGGGTGGGAGGAGGGGGCTCACCTCTTCAGGGAGCCCATTCCACAGAGTCAAAGGCACAATGGGAAAGGCCT